GTATTGGTCCAATCCTGCCCTCTGCTGTATCTACTCAGTACTGAACCATAGTTTAATAATATTTAATCTCAATAGTTCAGTTTTTACAAAGTAATATGATTGTATTTTGATGTTTTACTATAACATTGCTACTCTATTGCTGTAATATATTGCAGTTTGGTGTCAACAATTGCATTGGCAATGTGGCCTCTTTCTGCACACATACAAACCAACCCTTGGCAGTACCCTCTGCCACAGTTCCAATGGTCTCATGGTTAACTCTATGGGCTTTCATGTGGGAGATCAGGGTTCAAAACCTAGCTACAGCAACTTTAATAAAAAATCTCTACAAACTTCATATTGTTACACAATTACGTTCATCACAGACACCTGCTGACTTGACAAGCACAAGCTGGCAGAAAACACATTTGAACTTGGTCACATTTCATTCTTAAAGTCCACTACTGCAGGCAAAGCCATGCTACATGGCAATGCACACTTGTTTTTACATCGTAAAAACCCATGTCTAGTTGCAATTGCCTGTCAGTTGCTACCTCATAAAATTCTAAATCAGGATCTGTATAAAAAAGTTTAGGGCAAAGTTGTACCCAGAGTGGAGCTCAGAATATGAATATGAGGCATGCAGGAAATATTAACAGTTTKTATAGATGTGAAATGTTAACTTTTAAATTATACAACATGTACAAAGCAGCTGATAACTGTTCCTCTACATACTGAACATGAACATGTGAATTAATTATCGATCATCCCAGTAGCTGATTTATTCAGTGGTTAAAAATATTTCAAATTTGAAAAACATTTTCTGCAAGTCTTTGAGAAAATAAATGAATAAAACACAACGCCAAGCCAACAGAGTTTCTAATGATTTTATTTGTCAGATATAGTAGACAATGATGAATATTTGTATATTGTTTGAACATTCTGACTGAAACAGCAAACGTCACCTCTGAAAAGAAAATAAGAAGAGGTAAGTAATGTTATATTCTGTGGAGAATCTAAAACATTTTCCAAAACAGCTATTGTTGAAAATTTATCTACATCTCACCTACATACTGGTTAGGTTATCGCTGCAATCAGAGCATTCTGTGTTGCATTCTAAACATTGTACATAACTTCCAGTAGTGTTTCCTCTGAAACTGTGGTTGTTGCAGTTCTAGCCTATGKTGTGGTCAAAAAGAAATCAGAAATATCATCAAACATACAACTAACAGGAAATGATCAATGACTGATGTTTATGTGTGGTTTGATAACAGAAGACAGAAAAGACTCGTATCAGAGTGAGCAATACACTGGTGCACCGTCTATGAAGAGTTTAATATGATCTGTGTTAGGCTATGGTAACTGTAGTGTTACTTTTGCTAATCGGGGTCCAGCAGAGGGTCCTGCAGTCTCTGGTCTTATGTTGGAGTTAGAGCAACAGATTACAGCTGTTTACAAGTTGCAAACTCAGTTTACAGCTGATATCCTGGATTTATAAATCTGACTTTTGTGAAATGAGCTCCTGGAGATCATGGGTTGCACACCATAAAATAATTTCAGGAAATCAATTACACTGCTTTTCTTAAACAACAGTTTGAAAACTTTGTCAATATGAAAGTTAAGGATTGGCCAACTGATGTGTTCCCTAATTAACAAGTAATTCTGCTGAAAATGTGGTGTGAATAATGTAACAGGAACAATTGCTTTCTTGAGATCTTTAGGTTATTGATGGGTATTTTTCTAAATACAAGCAAAAACAGGGGAGCAAATGAGACAATCAAACCATGGCTTAGAATCAAAGTGAGG